CACCTGCACAGCAGATACGGATATGTACGATCAATGTAAGAGGACTAAATATACCGGAGAAGCGCACACAAACCCTGATGGAGCTACATCGGCTCAGAGCCGATGTGGCCTTCCTTCAGGAAACCCACTTTAGGAAACATAACGCCCCCTCCCTCAGAGACAATAGGTACCCCCATGGCTTCTTCAGTGACTACACACAGGCTAAGTCTAGAGGGGTGGCGATACTGATATCGGCAAAACTTCCCTTTACGTATCATTCTCATGAGGCAGACGACAGTGGGAGACTACTTATGGTAAAGGGACAAATAGGCTCCAATATGGTAACCTTCGCGAACTTATACTTACCCAATAGGAAACAAGGGAACCCACTCAGGAAATATCTACGTAGAATAGAAAATTTCACAGAAGGAATATTGGTAGCAGGGGGTGATGTAAATGTCTCCCTAGACTCCACCCTTGACACGACTTCACAAATAAAGACCTACCAAACCCATACACGACGCCAGATCCAAAAACTCCTAGACGACGCCCAACTATATGACTGTTGGAGGACACTGCACCCGACATCCAGAGACTTCTCCTTCTACTCCCCCACAACGGGCTCCTACTCGAGGATAGATATGCTCTTCATGCCACACAGATTCTTACACCTCATACAAAAAAGTAGTTATGGTCCCATCACATGGTCGGACCATGCGCCCTTAACGCTGGAGATTCAGACCCCTCCTTACCACTTACATCTTTCCATTGGAAGCTAAATGACTTATTACTCAATGACGCCACAATCACCAATAGAATAAGGGATACACTTACAAACTATTTTTTAGATAACAATGACCCGAATATGTCCCCTACAGTAATATGGGAAGCACACAAGTGTGTACTAAGAGGCGAGATAATTGCACTGGCCTCCAAGCAGAAAAAGCTCAGGGAACTCAGAATTAAAACACTTACACAAGAAATACGGCTTTTGGAGACTGCCCACAAAACCAATAATACGATAGACCTCTACATACAGCTGACAGACAGACGCACGAAACTACAACAGCTCCTGAATGCCTCAGTTAAGAGGAAATTATTACTCACCAGACACTCCTTCTACACACAAGGGGGGAAATGTGGCCGCCTCCTAGCTAACGCACTCAAGAAAAAAAGACAAAACACATTCATATCCCATATAAAGACACCATCAGGTACACTAACCGCCATGCTACCAGATATCACAAAAGCCTTTTACGACTACTATTCAACGTTATACCATCTGTCGGACAAATCACCGCCCAAAGAAGTAATAGATAACTTCCTATTGTCCAGAATAAAGCGTACGATACCTACCGTAGACGCTAAATCCTTGGAAGCACCCATCACTTCAGACGAGTTTAATGCAGCGGTAAGGCATCTACCAGTGGGCAAGAGTCCAGGACCAGATGGCTTCACAGCTAAATACTACAAGCTATTTGCCTCCACACTGAGCGTACCCTTCACAACGGCATTCAATGCTCTAACAACACACACCACTCTGCCTGGCTCAGCCTTGGAAGCCCACATTACCCTAATCCCCAAACCCGGTAAAGATCCCACCGACTGTGGAAGCTACCGCCCCATATCCCTTATCAATATCGACCTAAAGATTTTTACGAAAATCTTAGCAAACAGGCTACGTCCTCTCCTTCAACTTCTCATACACCCAGACCAATCAGGATTCGTCCCAAACAGGGAGGCTAAACATAACACCAATAAAATACTTAACTTGATCCATTTTTCTCAACACACCCCCAAGCAAAGCGTCATCTTCTCGGTCGATGCCGAAAAAGCATTTGACCGAGTGGATTGGGCTTTCCTCCTAGCCACACTGACAGTGTTGGGCCTCGGCCCAAATTGGATCCGGTGGATCCAATCCATATATTCAAACCCAATCGCTAAAATTCGAATTAATGGCCAACTTTCACCACCTGTGCGAATATACAATGGAACAAGACAGGGGTGCCCCTTGTCCCCATTACTCTTCATACTAATCCTAGAACCGTTCCTACAAGGAGTAAGAGACAACCCTGACATACACGGTTTCCATATAAACAACCAAGAATATAAGGCTTCTGCTTTTGCAGATGACCTGTTATTCACGATAATGGACCCAACCACATCCATGGGCCCCTTAGTGGAAGAGTTAGAGCAATACCAAGTAGTGTCCAACTTTAAAGTGAACTTCACCAAAAGTGAAATCCTCCCTTTACGAATAGACCCCCACAACGCAAACTCTCTTAAAACTCGATTCCCTTTCAAGTGGACAAACAAAGCGATAAAATACTTAGGAGTACAACTCCCGAAAAACCTCTCCTCACTATACTCTCTTAACTATAAACCCCTCTTAGAAACAATCTCCCAAGATCTAGCACAATGGTCGAAACCCCACTTTGGATGGCTCTGTAGGGTGAACATCATAAAGATGACCACTCTACCCAAAATACTTTACCTCTTACAAGTTTTACCAATCGCACTCCCAAAAGCCTTCTTCTCTACGATGAGACGGCTCTTCTCGGAATTCATTTGGGCGCACAAACACCCTCGACTCAGCTACACAACTCTGACTAAAAGGAAAAATAGAGGGGGCTTGGGTTTACCTGATATTGAAACCTACTATAAGGCAGTCATACTACATCGCATATACGAATGGACAGCACCGCACCCGCACAGACAATGGAGAACTATAGAAGAGACGTTCCTCTCCACACACGCACACAATGTAGTCTGGCACCCCAAAGGGCGAATGCTACAAAAGCCACCCTTCTCCCAACACCCGACCATCACCCCCGCACTGAAGGTTTGGAACCAAATCAGGGATTCCCAAGTACTATCCCCACACCCATCTCCACGCTACCCGATAACAAACAACCCTCTTTTTCCACCGGGTTGTCAAACCCAATTCCTACAACACAACACGCAATCACAACAACTCACACTAC